TGTAAGTCTTCTATATATGTATGTACCTAGTAAGTCTTCTATCAATCTATTAAGCAGTTGAATTGATTTTAATGTACATTTTTATTTACATTACATTAGTCTATACAGCTCCAGTTTGGTAATCGCTCTAGAGTCTAGTTCCTTCTCGAAGTTATGAGAAAAGCAAGGCATCAATTTGATTTTGATTAAAGAAAACATATCTTAGAACTTTAACACTCGTTGGACAACAGCCTATTGTACTGACTGAAACATGTTAATCATCGGTGAGAAAATGCACGTGCCTGCTAGCTCAATAAAGAACTTGCTGTAGTTCAGTGTAGAGTCTATGTACGAGTATAATATCTTTAGTTACATATTCAACATTCTACTTTATATCGTGGATTAAATAAATAAAACTTAAAATTTTATTTTTGGTCTGTCGATGACATAATTAATTTACATTGTAATCTTTTTTTGTATTATAGAAAACATAGTATTTTGATCCTTATCTTAGATTAATTTATTTATCGTATTAAGTTCTAAGAAATTCGCATGTGAAAAGTGTTTAAATATATCATAAAAACTCGTGTGCTGGTAATTTACGAAGAATTCCTGGCTAATTAAATATGTTAGTATGATAAGACACATTTCATTAGATACGTCGTGTGTTTTATGTTAATGAGTTTTATGAGGTCAACTGCTTAGCGCTGTAAGGAGTTGGAATTTATATACTTACTTATTTACTAGTATATATTAATTTTTTATTCAACAAAAGCGGTACAGATTGTGGAATTAAAATAACTATATATAGAAACAATTTAAATATTTGAAAACTAGCAAAATATGTTACTTATGGTACCTATTATATATGTTATATACTACTACTTAATAATACATAGATAGTTTTAAACGTGATAAAATAATTTAACCTTCACGCTCAGAAACGTCACATGTCCTGTCTGAGTAATGCTTAATTTGTAGCAAAAATTTTAAATTTTATGCCTTTTTAACTACAATGAAAGCATGTATTCAACGAAAATTTTGTAGTTTCCATGCTTAGTTATAATGTAGTTTTATCTTATATTACGATAACAAGTTTAAGTTAGTGAGCATGTATCACAAGATATGTATTAAGTTTGCATGCACGAAAACTGTTTGGCCGAAGTACTCTTGAGTTATCTGTGTACTTATACTGGTTTTGTACATTTCAATGTGGGCGTCCTATTTTGAATAATTAATTCTAAGGAGGTATTAATAGTTTTTTGTTATTGTATTTTTTATCAATTATTATTGAAATATATTTAAAGTACTGACGTTTCAAACGTAAAAAATAAAGAATGTGCTACACGTTGAGATGCTATGATAAAATTTTAATAGTTTAAAAAATGAAAATTTGTTCATTTGTTTTCAAACATATTATATAATATTATTTTTTTATTCACACTTTGTTTTGTTTTTTTTTTATACAAACTATTTCATTTACTTCATAATTATGTAGTTATAATGTATGCATGTACTTTGAAACAATGATGAATTATTATTTATAGCTTAAGAAATGATTTGCATGTTGTATTAAATTTTATGGCATAATATAAATATTTCTTTGAAGTCATCTTATCGTATATAAAGAAACATTAATATGAACTATGGAATAATAGAGTAAATGTATTTCTTATGTGGTCTATAGAGTTAAAAAAAGGATTAAAACATGTTTAAGGTCAAGCAAACACGTTAGGCATTGCAGACCGACCAGGAGAACATGACCTCTAGAAGTATCTAGTATTTTCTTCAGAACCTCAGACTTAGTGACTCTGGTTATGATATGTATCACGAATGTCGACTATTTTTTGCTGCTGGTGCTATATAGCCCCGTGTATTCCACTCAAAGAGGGAGATATCAAGATATCAAGACGGCTTATAAGTCGTGGCCCAATAATCCAATAACGTAGCAAAATCTGCCAGAATAATAGAAGATTTACTTTCGGTAAACATCTGTTCTTTTTTACCAAATGAGTTTAACAAACAACGTATGAATATGCTTTGTTGCTCGGTTATGTCCCACCGAAGTTGGTAAAGCATTCATGACGAATCGAAGCTAAGAAAAGATATACAATTTATATATATGTAAATAAATAAATTTATAACAAATGTGATTATAGTCGTTTTAATCCTTCCCTTTAAGTTTTTTGTACGTTCAGTGAGAACGTGACAAAAATATTGAACAGTAATCTTTCGAAACGAGTCATAGAACAAGTGTTTGATATATAATGACAAGGGTTTCTTTGTTATACTTAAATAGATTTTGGTGAAGACCACAATCGGCCAACATTGTTTTATGTGTGATGAAATAATATTGTTAATTGATATTATTAAATTCATCGACAACACGACACTTAATATTTTAATAAAGTTAGAACTAATTGTAGACCTTACTTTTTGTTATTTAAATTGACCCAATTTACTTGTATGGTATATTTCGAGAATGTTATTGATACAGTGACAAAAGTAATATAAAGCTTATTTTATATGTCTAGAAATCAATTCTGTTATGTTCTATTTACTTAATTTACTTTTAGTAGTAATTTACTCTATTTAATGATATTGGACATTGATAAATATTCTCTATATTAAAAAATGTATAGCATTGTTAATTTTCCTACTAATGTTAACTTCATCTATCGTCATATAAATTGCGACGTTGTTGGTTAAATGTAAGCAAATTATGTCATACTTTATTCTTAGACAACTGCAATGATTTTATAGATCGTGTTGTAAATACAAATTGTTATAATGTTTATATTGTGACGTTTAGTTACTGAGTAAAAATAGACGAACAAACAAACAAAAATTCTCTATAGTAGTGTTTTGGACATATCAATGTTGGTCAAAAAACTTGAGTTGAAATTCAAACAGAGAATAAATGCATAATATTAAATGCATCGAAGAGGCTGTTTGAAACCCAAGATATGAAAAAATTTTAATAATTCAGTAATAAAATTAATTTTAAGTATATTTGAATGGTACATATAAGTCATCCATATAACTATATGATCTCTCCCTTTTATTTACTCTTTGCGAAAAAATATCATTCCTGGAAGAGAAATCAGATTAGCAGATGATAAAAAAGGCATTAGAATATTTTCTCTTATATTAATTAATAAACAATGTCAAATGTAATATTAAGGTATGATCATTAAAACACGTACAGGCACTTTCAGTGACAGAACCACTTTCTAAGATCACATAGCGAGAGGACGCTTTAATAATAAAAAATAACTTGATTATAACTGACATACTTATATGAAGTATTAATTTAAGCTTTATATGTATATGTCAATAACATTAAATGTATAATGATTTTTTTATATCGGTAAAGCCAAAAAAGCATATGAAGTTTTAATGAAGTATTTAGCAATGTAATGTGCTTAATTTGTTGCTCTCAAATGGTAATGGTTTTATTATTAACTCATTTTTAAACATTATAATATTAAGTTCCATTTCTCTTTACAAAACTGTATTCCTGATTGACACTGACAATTTAAAATGACGGAATTTGTTTCGCTATTATATAAATATTTTTATTCGAGAAACTTCTGTTTGAAAGTGAATTTCATCGAAGTAACTTAAAAAAACGAATTTTTCAAGATAAATCTGGTTAAGTATGAATAAACAATTAATAAACAAAATGAATTGACTATATTTAAAACATTTCTTAAGAAATAGATTGTTAAGCTTAGTTTAAGTCAATTTAACTGTAAATCATAAGTATACATTAGATGAAATATATGTAAGTCAATCATAATTAGGGATCATATGAAGCAATAAAAAATTATAATCGAATTGAAAATTATAATTGAATCGATAATAATTATTTGTGATTACTCGTTTTCTAATTAATATTATTGTTAAATAATTTAAGAAGATTCTCTTAATTATTACTGATTAGCCTTTTTATCACTCGTACTAGTGTTAAATTTATGAATGAAATTGTATCAGAATATTTATTTGTGATTATCGATACGGAAGCAAAAACGATGAGATTGACAAAAAATTCACAATCCTAGTGTGAATAAAGCCATAGATAAAAAAAACAGAGTCGAAAGGAGTATTACGATTAATCAAATAAAATTAACCATGGAATTTTGACAAAATCCTAGATAATATTTTAAATACTTTTAAATATTTATTGCCTTTGATGCTAAGGTCCTAATAAATTCGGACAGAGTAGTTAGTAAAACATATTTTACTAATAATTAATGGTACTATATTATTGAATAATTAATTAGGGATTGTCATTTATTGGAAATCAATTAACAATTTTGATTATAAGTCTGATAAGAAAAGGTATTTAAATCCGCTTTAACACTCGTGAAGTCGTCAATGTTATAAGTTATGTAAGCTTCAGGCTTGTTTATGCATTGTGCTTGCAGAACAAGCTGTTAACACTTAATGTTAATCTGCGAAGCAAATAAAAACAGCAAACAAAATAATGTGATAAACACGTTTATTTCACACACGTCACAACCATACATGTTACATACATAACTATTATTATAATGGAATGCTTTATACTTACTTTACAGCTACATTACAATGATAAGTATAAGATAAAATAAATTAGAATTTTAGTTTTATTTTATCTGAGCAGATTAACAATAGAAGACATTATTATAAACTAGAAAAGTCGTTGTGGAAATATATTAAGTAATTTTTAGGACATTTGTTTAGGTTGGAATGTTTACTGTAATCGTGACTTTGGGAATGCGTCCCCGACCTTTTGAATCACAAGACGACTCGGATCGTCTTGAACACGTTTTGGAAACGTTCGAAAGGTGATATCATATTATTGTTAAGTTACACTTATTTATCATAAAATTATAATATACAAAGCTATCTATATTGCGCTTTATCACTGAAAAGACCTTAAGGTCAAGGTAACTTTTAATATTTGGTAATTTACACGCACACAGCGTATTTAGATTCATTCTCACGGTCAAGGTTGACCGAGAACGTCCAAAGTATTAAGCGAGGAGATGTGCTAATGCCAGCACTATCATGGAAGCTGCAAGTTTTGGTGCTGATGAAGCACCATGCGGTGTCACGGGTGTCTCCGGCTTCAGATCTTCACCGAACACGTAGCTTTTCAAACCAGTATAAGACTTAAGAATTCTGTAATTGACCTCGTTCAATGATACTTGATTTTTCACAAAGTTATGCAGCCTGTTTATAACGACGTAAACATTACCGCGGTCATCGAAACTGAAACGGTCAACCCACTGTATGTAGTTGGGATCGCGGGCGATAGTCCGCTGGCCTGTTGAAAAATCTGTTGCTGTGTTCCATTCCGCGATAGTAGAGTTGCCAATCAGACCGAAAAAGAGTATACCAGTGGAATCCATCTTCATACCGTCCGTCTGAGACGCCTTCATACCCAGGTCGACTACATACGGACCGATAGCTCCATTGCTAACAGCTAACGATTCGTTCTGTAGTACCGAAGCGTTAATTGCATAAAGGTGAAAGCTGGACAGCGGGCAGTAGTAGACGGTACGGTCGACAGCTTTATCTTCTGTGTAAAATTGTGGCCCGAGAGCGATCCCGTCAATGTTTACAGGTAAATTCACAGTGGTACCATTGATGCGGAATATCGCAGCTTCTGGTAGAGAAGACATTGACTTAGTGTCACGTAATTTCCATGATTTTTTGTCGCTCAGTCTAAATACGATGATGCCGGGGTCAACGGCGCTGTTGTCGGTAATGTATGCGAAGTCACCGTCGCGATTATCAACAACTAGGTCGTTCAAGTATGCTGTATTAGGGTTCACTACGTCCAAGGAAAATGGTATCCGTTCTAATTTATTTTCACCTGATTTTAAATCGATTAAGACGATCGAAGGTGGACATTTTGAGTTTGGTTTCGATGTAAGGGTGCCAATGCGTCCGTTATCCAGAATCCACATAATTCCATTCCGGTCAATTTCAATGTTTTGAACGAATTGTAGAGATTCGCAATTCCCTACGGCGTTGTCCTTCCAACTGGGGAAGGGTTTCAGTTTCGGTGCGGTTGTTTCATTTTGGAAGGCCGGTATGGTCGCTAGAGTAGCGGGAACGCCGTCCAGCATACGGGGTAGTGTTAAGAATATGTTATTTTCATAATAATTTATTCCCGATATTAAAACGTTTTGTGGGATGTATCGGCTGGAGTTAAGATAGACATCGCGGTCCTCGGGTGATTCCCACTCAAAGTCTATGCTGCGCCACTCATAGATGACTCTGAATTGTTCTCTATGAGTCGGTTTCCGGGGCTGATCTCCTTGTGCCGCTGCGGCAGCGACGATCGCGAGGAGCACTACAACAATCATATTGCTACGAAGTCGCTTGGAAGCGTGTAACCCGCCCGACGCGAACGATGCGACTGACTTTGTATACATCGCTTTGCGTGACTCGCGAGCTAAACTCGACGGAACAGCTTTGCGTGTGTCACTATAGCACGTCATTGTTATTGACAACGGACGATTAAAAGATTCATACCTTAAAGATTATCTCATTCCAATAGTTGTTAGTGTAAATGTAAACACGCACCGGGAAGGGTGCATGAAGGTCATACGTCGCCCTCGCTAGACGGAGGGTCCAACAGTCTCGCCGGTTATGTATAAAGCATTTATACAGGGAATCGATTCAAGTGTTCGTTAGCTTTGCATTTGAAAACACTCTTAAACTTTCGTTAACTGAAATGGTTTATTTAAAGACTTTAATTACTTTAAAGAGTCCATTAAATTCAATTAACAGTTTGCTTTTGTTATTGGATGGCGTTATCAAGTTTTTTGTTTAGTAAATTGCGTTATTGTACAGCTATGAAGTTTATTTCTGTTCCTACCTATGCATGTCTTGAATGCATTAGTTTTTTATACACGGATAAATAAGCGGATACAGATATAAGAACAAATTATTATTTAATTAACGTCCAAATGACAGTAATGGGTTCTTTTGAAAATTTTCAATAAATCTTATTGTGTATGGATTTACCGAGTAATGAGTAACGTTGATGAGTAGGAGTTATTGCATGTTGAATTTTCATACAATTGTGTCATTAATTGTTACTTATTGTTATTTATTGTTATTCAACAATTCAGGAACATATTGTTTATGTACATATATTGTCGTCTACGTATATTATGTTATGAAATTTTATTATAAAAATTAATAAGCCCATGATTAGAAAAGCTGGTAGAAAAGAATTTTTATCGAAATAGTATAGTGTTTATTTGGTTGAGATTTTGTTTGAGTTCAAGGTGAGTCAGTCAGTGAGTACAGGTTTATTTGTTGACTCATCAAAATAAAGCAACGGTTCGCATGAGAACACGGCATAAATATTCTGTTTTGTAAAATAACGGATCTATAAGATTTTTTTGTTATATAATAATAAGATTATTTTTAGTCCAAAAAGATTAATAATTAAAGTTCGCAGTGATTTAAGTGGATAAATATAATCTCCATATCCAATTTCGCTATTTTTAATTTTAATCCCTTTTAATTAAAAAAATTAAACACCTTGAACGTTCAAATTCATTTTGTCGCTTCAGAAACACGAAAAAAATATTCAAAATGCTTTACAATCTGAAATATCAATCGTATATTTTTACCTTTTTACGACGCTTTAAGCCCCAGCTTTAGAAGAGTGATGTAATGAAGCTGGTTATATTTTAGTGTATGTAGGAAATCCTCCTCTGATGTAGGTACGTTTAAGGGTATTTAATTTTGTTATTGAAGCCATTGAATAAGTTCCATTTAAAATTATTTATTAATAATTCTATACAATGAGAACTAAGACTTTCGCGAGTTTTATTCACTACATAAACTAATATTTTTAAGATATACTAGCGAGTTTTATTCACATCTCGTCTGTCCGTGACCACGATTGCTGAAAAGTAGACGAAACGTCGGGAGTATGTAGTTTTTTACTAAAATAAAGCACGCGTAGTATATCCGAAAAATATTACTATCAATTCTACTACATATACGTTTGATGAAAATTTTAAATACTTTAATGGTAATTTATTTTATTATGAATAAAATAATAAGACTAAACTCTTTTGATTGCTTGTGTTACGAGGTTAAAAGGTTGCTTAATTTTGAATTTTCTAAATAAGCTGTAATTCATTTAAATTTATTTATAACACTGTGAATTGGATACGTCAAAGTTGATGGCATTGAATTATAAAGAAGAAAATTATTATACAATAGATAGCTTTATTTGCGGAACACTTAGTGAGATAATGATGGAAAAGTGCTTTCAAAATTACCCAAGTTAATTATCAATGAGATAAGGCTTTTGGGCATTTTGTAAATATTTGAATCATTTAATGGTCTTGTAAGGTTATCACAACGATATATATAAGCTTGTTTTATAAATATTATTAGACATTAATACCCTACCATGCAAGTTATATAAAAAGGTTTACGAATTTAGTTTAAATTTAGTAGGTACGTGGACAAATTAAAGTCTTTTCATAACATACAATATTATTTTGGGCGAAATAGCTCTAAATAATTATGAATGTTATGAAAACTTTAATAATTTTTACCTTTATTTACATAAAATATTATTTTGTTTAGTTTTCATAATCACTGTATAAAATTGTAGATTTTAATTCATGATTGTTTTAATAGTTTTATTATGAGTCTCTAAGTCATCAGTGTATCATTATTTCAGTAGATTGACATTTATTTTACATACTAAATATATAACAAAAATATTTCAAAACTAATTATCCATTTATATGTATTATAAACATAATATATCACAATGTACTAAGGGTATATTGGATTTACCTCATCATAAATATCAGAAGTGCATTAGCAATATGACCTTTACTGCATTATAATAAGAGTGTTCAATGTTAACAATATAATTTAAAATTCAATATCACGTTCTGAATCCGACGCCAAAGGATCTTCCGTAGACGCGTTCAGAAGACACAATTTGTTTGATGACTAAAGAGATTGTTTCTTTAAGGATTTTCGTTATTAAAAACTACTTTATTATAACGTAAAATACGCTTTGAATAGACAGATTGTTTACGTAATAGTTATCTAGCTTCGATAAATTTAATTGACTAATTATAGTTATTATATTAAATATATATAATATCTGTAAATGAAAATCATTGACTGCAAATTGAGGTCGAAATTAAATATATTTATGTAAATATATATTATTAACTCCAAGCTAAAAACACATATATTCGACCTCTAAAACTAGCCCTATCGGCCGTGGCACTCTGAAACATTATTTTTAATAAGCAAATTTACACCCTTTAGTAAAGTAATGTAATTTTAAAATTGCATAAAAGACTATTCTTCCTATGATAAAAAGTAATGAAAATCAACACTTTTGACCTGCCAACGCTCCCCTTCCGTAACAGACTTTTATGACTATTTGTTAGGGGATCGATCCCTCAGGGCATTTTACATAAATCTAGAAACAGACTGATATTAATAGTAACCATTACACCCAAGCAGATTCAGATAAATCAAGTTTTATATTTTTAACTTTATAGTTTATATTGATTTAAATACTGGTTATTGAGCTTGTTAAAACTTTTTGAGTACAAAAATTATAAAAAAACAGCTCATTTTCAAAATCGAACTCTCTACTTTTTTCAAAATTAAACAACATTTAATGCTTAAAAGAGATAATTTAAACATGTGATATATTTTTTTACTCCTAATTTTGGTAGCTCATGTCAAACTTGATTGAAATCGGCTTTAAAAAGAAAATATTATTTTACGAATGTGTGTAAGAAAACCAGGATTCTATATGTGAACTTCGTCCTTTTTTTGAAGTTCGATACAAATTAACAAAACCACTTTATGTGACAGTATGAGAGACATTTATGAAAAAACTAAATCTATTTTTACTACGGTAAATCTAACTATACTGTCATCCCCGGGATTATTTACACTACTTAAATTATTTTCAATTATTTATTGCTTCTATATGTATACTTAATGTCTAAATACAGCAAGATGTGATTAGTACCTATAATATTTTGTATTTACTATACTCAACTACGCAAGTACACATTCTAGGTATAGGCATTTGTGGCGAAACATCCATAGTAGGTATACAAAAACAACTGCAAACATACATAGGTACCTACTACAAGTTTGTATAGTCTCTACAAACAGCACGTATATAATTTTTCAGTCATAAATCCTCGCCTATCTTAGTAATAACGTCGGCTTAAGAAAAAAAATGAAAAGGCTTCATATGAATTTTGTTGGGCAAACTAATGATAATGTTACTGTTATAAAAAGTATGTTTTTATACCCAAAATAGAAATTACCTCCAAATAGTTAACATAATTTCTCCCGAATTAATAATGCATCAAAGAGATCAAGCTAATTTTTTTCTATTTTGAATACTATATAACATTTTATATTTATAATTTAATACACGAAAAACCTAAAATGTATGTGTTATTCTTACTTTTTATTAATCCCCCTCCAATATTCTTTGTAAACTCGGAGGTGTATAACAAAATTAGCCATGCATATTATGAAGCAAATGTATTTCTGCAACTCGGAAGCGATTTCTTTCCTTACGGCTATTTCGATGCACGCGATATTAAAGTATATATACTTATTTGTTATATTAAACAAGTTATCACTTGCAAATGAACATCTAAATGCTAAATATTTAATTGTTTTACCGATATAAGAAATAGGTATTGCATTCACCTAGTTACATATGTAAATGTATAGGAGATTTTCAATTATTATTCGAGGTCTAATGAGGAATCTTCCGTAAAAGGCTTAAATCCTTGAATTTTAGATAAACATGTTTGTAGTAACTGTCAGTTGTGTCTAACAATATTTGCATGATTCTTGAATAAAGTAATTTGTTTGTTACGACGTCATAAATTAGGAACCACATTTAATAGTGTCATTTGGCGGTTACTTATAATATTTCAGGGAATTGCGAAGGATAATATCTGAAACTTCTTTTAGTAAAAGAACAGAAACAGTTCCTCTATAATTTACATCCATATATAATCTTTAAAACTTGTCTTCAAAATACTTAATAATATAAACAATTAATTTATAATTTCGCTACACTCAATAATTTCTTTATAAAACCTCATTCCTTTGATCATTTCTTTTTTTTTCAAAGTAAAAGTAAGAAAGTGACAAGATTTGTATCATGTTATAGAATCCTAATCATTTATGAACACTATAGTATTGAGGTTACAAAATAAATCAATACATTTTATAAAACAAAGTTCTGTCTGTTCGCAATAAACAGAAAAACTACTGTACCAATTATCAAGCGGTTTTCACCACTCAAAAGCGTAATTCT